GTTTAGGGCTGTTGTACATAGGGTCGCTATGAGTCGCAGGCGACTAGACGGCACATAACAACAACAACAACAACCATTTGAAAAAAAAAAGGCATATTACTTTCCATAGTGATTATACCATTTTACAACACCACCAGCCATGTACCCAAGTCCTAGTCTTCCCATAACTTTGCCATTCATTATTTTATCATTTTTTTTATCATTACCATTTTGCAGAAGTCATAGATAATTCCATTGTCATTTTTATTCACATCTCTCTAATGGCTAATGGAGTTATGGATGATCTAATAAGTAAGGAGTTACACTGCCAACCCAAAGGCAGGCAGTTCAAAATCTTTTAGCTGTGCATTGGGAGAAAGATGGGCAGTCTCCTCCCATTCTATGTATAGACTCTCAAAATCTTCTGGAGCTTCTGCAGCAATGAAGAATTTTTTTTTAAGAGAAAAGCAAACTGAGGGCTATGACATAGGAAAATGTGCAACAGTGAATGAATGGAAATCCAAGTTTTCTGTAAACTTTTGTTAAAATTACAATAAAAAATAATTTCTTTAAAAAAACCTTCAAAAACAGAAAACCACCTGCTGGAGGGTCAGCCGAGAGTTGATTCTGAGCTGACTACACCTAACAACAAAACAATGGGTATTGAATGGGAGAAATTGTCTCATGTGTTTATTGGGTACTTGAATGCATTTTTAGTGATATCTCTTTCCTTTGCCCATTTCCTTTATCCTTTCCTTTGCCCATTTAATGAGATTGTCTTTTTTTTATTGTTGAGTTGAAATTTTCTGTATATTTTTGGACATTAAACCCTTGTCAGATATGTCTTTGCCAAAGATTTCTTCCTAATCTGTAGCTTCTCTTTTTGCTGTGTTGGTAAGAATGTTCTATTTTAATGTCTCATCCCTATCTCATCCCTGTCGAGTCAGAATCTATTCATAAACCCTCCTTTGGGTTTTCTAGGCTATAAAGTGCACAGGAAAAGATTACCCATGTTTTCCCTGTGGAGCCACAGGTGCATTCAAACCACCAGGGAGGTGTGGCCTTTGGTTTAGAAGCAAAACTCCCCACAAACTACCTCAGTTGGTGTTTCCTCAGGGAGATATATTATTTGTGAGAAATTAGTTTCTTATGTAGAACTGTGTCATCTAAATGCTCAGGTATTTTGCTAAGTTTTTCACTCTAGTGAGACAAGTTTGCTAGCCCTTTAGGAAAAGACAGATTTTTATACCGTTAGGGGTCATGGTGATGTGATATCCTCCTGTGTGATTAATATGAGTACAGGCCTAAGATGCTGTATTTTACCCCCTTGAGCCTTTATTGGCCTAAGTATAACCAGAACCAACTCTTACAAATTCAGGGAGACATGTAAAACATGTATTTCTTCACTCACTTATTTTCTCACTACTGTCAAGACAGAATCAACTCATCACTGACTCTCTAGTGGGTTTTTCAGGACTGTAAATAACATGGAAGGAAATTGCCCATCTTTCTCCTTCAGAACCCCTGATGGATTTGAACTGCCACGGGCCCCCCTTTGAGTTTGCAGCACTACCTACATACACTACCAGAACACCCTGTGAATTCCTTAGTTCTTATTTACACTCTACTAAGAACGGTACTTGGGAAAATGTTCTATCCTTATTGTTATTGGTCTTTCAGGAGATTCCACAGCAGATGAATGGTAGTGACTGTGGGATGTTCGCCTGCAAATACGCAGATTGCATTACCAAAGACAGACCAATCAACTTCACACAGGTGAGCTAAGTCTTCCGGGAGCTTGGTGACCAGCTTGTCTCCAGGCTGCCTTATAATTTTTTTTCACTTGCTCTGCTCAGAAGACTGCCCTTAACCTTTACTATGCTTCATCCTACATATCAAAACACTGTTGGTTACTACTTGTGACATATCACAGGGAAAAAATAGAGTAGTGATAGACCATATCTGGGCCTACTGTAGGTTGTAGAACTCTATAGTTAAGGAATTATGGTAACATTGTAACCTTCTTGAATGGCATTTTGCCCACTTATCTCAAATTTTCCAAGAAATGGCCAACAGGCCAAACCAAGTTTTCTTTCATTTTCGTGTTTGTTAGCAGTCAAGATTTCAAACAGGGGACACTTTGATCTCCTGGTATGATTTGTTATACTTCCCTATCTCCTGATATAGCTAATTAGTCTTCTTTTGATGTGTGATTGGTTATTTCCATCCTAGAACTCATGCCTTATTTTGATATGCCCTTCACTCAACTATATTTGAATCAATGGCTTTATACCAGATTGGCTTTCCCCTCACAAAACAGACTAGTTTGAGCTATATCTCACAGTTCCCATAACTCATCACCTAAAAAGTGAGTTTTTATTTCAGCCCTCAGATTACTTCTTAAAAGTTCAGTATGCTGTTCTTAATAGATAACTGTTTCATAAATTGTTGGTGATAGCCTAGGGACTCCTGGCCATGCACAATGAAATTTCTAAGATTGCAAAAATGTTTTAAGGAAATGAGTAGGAAAAACAGTTGAAAGAAAAATAGTCATGTATAGTCAAGAATGACAGTTTGAAAGACCAGAAATGTGACTAAGACCACTAGAGGTTGAAAATCTCCAGGGGAGAAGGAAATGTGGGAATTGATCTGCTCATTGTGACTGAGTCAGAAGAAAACATAAAAATTATGAATGTTTTTATGTCTCCACAGCAACACATGCCATACTTCCGGAAGCGGATGGTCTGGGAGATCCTGCACCGAAAACTCTTGTGAAGATTGTCTCAGCCAACAGACATTAACTTTGTTGGGGACCAGCTCTTTGTTGTCTGTAGCTGGAGACCTTGGAAACAGCTGCTCCCAACCCTCTGTTCTTGTAAAGCCCTTGATGCTGGACCAGGCCTTGGCAAGATGCATTCACAAGCACATCTGCCTTTCCTTTTGTATCTCAGATACTATTTTTGCAAAGTAACCTGGTGCTGTGAAAGGGGTGAGGGACATCTCTAAGCTGAAGAGAAAGACTGTTTTTCACTTCTTCAGTTCTGCCATCTTGTTCTCAAAGGGCTTCCAATCTCACTTAGTCCTTACTAAGGGGACTGAGGAAAGCTTGGAAAGAATCTTAGCATTATATAAGCTCTTGTTGTTAGGCTCCACTAAGAGCTAGGAAAGGGCATGGGCAAAAAGGTAGGGATAAAAACCACCAGCATTTACACGCACACATACTTACACATGTGTTTTTCAAGATGTGTAGTCAGGAATGGGACTATAAACTGGACTTTGGGGCACATGCCTATGTCTCTTCCTCCAGGACTTTTTATAAGCCCCTCTGTGAAGTCCATCCACTTCCATATCAGGCTGTTTCTCATCTGTATCTTCCTCCCTTCCTGAGACATGGCACTTGGAGCCTGGATGGGTCCCAAAGACCCAGGAAGCCCTTCTCCTAAAAACAGGGGTTTGCATATGCTAGATACATGATATGGGGAAGACCCACCCAGAGAGTGGTTTAGTGGAGCAACAAAGCACCACTTTGACTGCCACCTACTTCTGACCAAGAAGAAAAAGGACCTCAGTTTCTAGCATAAAATTCAGGATTGGATGAATGCAGGTCTAGTTTGTTCTGTGGCTGGTTCAAATATGTTTCTAACCACAGAGAATTTAATATACATATATATTTCACAGGGATATGATTTTTTTCTTCCTTTTCTTTTTTTTTGGCCTTCGAAAGGCTGAATGTGTTCATCTCTTTAGCCAGTAGATTTATTTCCATTTTCCAAATTTAGCTCCAGTATACAGAGATCCAACCCCCTGTGTGTAGGGTATTTGTGGACTTCCTAACAGAATTTCAAGGCCTGGATGAGTATTGGCTTAGGGCTATAGAGGGATGTGAGATTTTCAACTGGAAAACGGGTGGAATTTGAACTAATGAATTTGAGATTTAAAAACCGCTATTTCTTTTGTTCCTTTCAGCATCTTCTCCCAAACCCTGAGAGCTCCTCAGGCTTAGATAGTGAAAATGATCCAATGCCAGTGTCATTTTGTACTTAAGTTCCAAAAGAGGAACATTTTATACTTTTTTTTGTATTGTAATATAGGTAGTTTTGTATGAAATATTTTCTCCTCTTCCCTTGTATCCCATCCTTCCCAGCATTGTGCTTTTTCCCTGGGCTCATTTGGAAATTTTACTCATTTTATACCAAGCTTGTTTAGTACATTTTTCTATGTTTTACCACAGGTTACAGTTTGAAAAGAAAACTATTTTTTTTAAATATTCCATTGTTAACTGAATGTTAATATTTCCACTTCAGCAACTAGATGTCCTACTCTTTTTCATAATGCCTGACATTTGGGAGACTGGGAATATAATTTTTTGTTTATTTATTTCTTTTTTTTCCTCGCTCTTTTAATATTTTTTGGGGGGTTGTTTTCTATAGGAAATAAATAGCTTTCTATATGAGTTGCTGGGAACTTTCACATTCTCCTTTAGAAAGCTGTAGTCATGCAAACTGTGGGACTCCTGCACATTGTCTGATGCTTGATGCTTAACAGTACTTAAATGACAACTTGAAAGTTGGCAATATGATTTGGACTATGAGTCAGAAAGCCCATGTCTTTTTTCAGGCTCTCCCATTATCGTCTGGAAACTCAGAACAAAATATTTTTGTGTATTTATTGTTTGTTCATTTAGATAACACCTGTCTTATCTTCCTCACGAACTTTGTACAGACCAAAGCAACAAATATTTATTGCCATGTACAGCAGAAAATGAAACAATGCAACAAATTATTGAAAAATATATGAGAAATTATTGATCCTCTCTGAACTTGGTCCCCTTTCTGACCAATGCAATTTTGCACACAATTTTAAGAGTTGCTAATCCTGAGACCACATGGTAGGAGTATAGGAGGGAGAGTCTGTAGCCCAGTCAGAACCAAAAATAGCAGGCTTATATAGTGAGCTCGTCTAGGGAGCTGGCTGACAAGAGCAGGACTGCTATCTGGAAATGTGCCTCCTCCACTTAGGGGTGAATCTTCATGTCCTGCAAAAAGGAAAGGCAGGTTTCTTGTTTGACTTTACACTTTTCTAGTATCCTCTCTTCTCTGCTGTCTCACCTGTTGTTGATTGCTGTTGAGTCAAGCACAATTCATAGTGACCCTATGAACAAAAGGCCTTTCTATAACTATCATCATTTATCAGAGTTCATAGAGTTTCCAGAGGCATGTTATTTAGGAAGTAGATGCCACTCCTGCATCCAAACCTGTCTCAAACTGGGAGTTCCACCAAACACTGTCCACCATGGATAACCATTATGACATTTGACACCTCAATGGCACAAGGTTCAGCATCACAGCAACCCCAACTTCCCTGAGGTCTTGATGACTCTAAACAAGAGGCTTAAATAAAAAATAACCAATATAGTATGTTGTTGTTATGTGCCATTGAGTCACTTGCAGTGTATAGCGACCCTATGTACTGCAGCGCTGAACCCTTCCCTATCCTGAGCCAGTCTCATTTATTCCGACACACCAACTCCTGTTGCCCCAGTTACTGTATCAATCCATCTCATCCAGGGTCTTCCTCTCCTGCACTATTCCTCCACCCTTCTGAGCATGCTGCTTACCTACATCTCCTAAAAAAAAGAATACTTTTGGGAGGTATTATATACCATCAAGTTGCAACCAACTCATAGCTGACCCTCCAGCAGGTTTCCAGAGGCTGTTAATTGCACAGGAGAAGATTGTCCATCCTTATCCCATAGAGCAGCTGGTGGATTTGAACCATGTGCATTAGGGATTCTTACCACAGTGGTATCTTCTTACCACTAGGCCGCTAGAGCTCCCTCTTGGATGATGATGATGATGTGTACACAACCCATAGCTGACCATCTGGCAGGTTTTAGAGGCAATCACACAAGAGAGTGTCTATCTCCTGTTGAGCAGTTGGTGTCTTCAAACTGCGTGCCTTTGGGATTACAGCACAGCTTCTTGCCACTAGGCCACCTTGAGGAACATGTACTAGATTCCAAGTATAGAACTTTTAACAGAAGTCATAATCTTAACAGTTATTACTGGACTCTGTACAGAGAAAACCTGATATATTGTTCCTGCTCATTTTAGAACATATCTAGAGATTAGAACAAAAGCTAGTTGCATCCAGTTTGCCATCTCACTATTAGCTTTCAGGAATCCTGAAAACCCACTTACTGTTAGCTTTCAGGAATACTGACCAGGGTTGAATGTGAGAGTGCTTCCTCATCCAGCCTTGGGAGTTTGTATAAATTGACTCTTCTAGGTATGAGATACTTCCTACATCCATCCTCTCTTCTTTATCCATTGTAATCCTCTTCACTACTGCTTGCAAAATTAGTCCTAAATTTTTGTTTTCCTGCACTAGAAAAACATGACAGTCAAAGTGCCTCCACCAACCCTGTCACATAGTGTAACCATCACTGTCTAATTTTACATGGCTCTTAAAAGGCTCTGGTGGGGAGAGAAGGAAAGTTCACTTAAGAACACTTTGGGTCTTGTCTACTAAGCTTCCTGAGAGGGCAATGGTGGTTGGTAGAAATCCACACCTTCAATGCCAGAGGCCTGGTTTCTCTTCTTACCCAGTTCACCTTGTCCTTCACCACTTGTCTGTCAATGGAGGCTTATATGTTGCTATGATGTTCAGCAGGTTTCATTATGTCTTCTAGACTAAGATGAGCTGGGGTGGGGGTGGGGAACAACAAAAACGTCATGATTTCTGAAAGTCACAACCATCCGATCGTAAACCCACCAGGATGGTGCAAGACTGGGCTATATATAACAGGTTTCCTGAGGACATTTACCTTTCTTGGTCTGAAGCCACTTGACCAAATATTTAATAGGCAGGTATTTAGGCACTGGTCTTGGGTGTTTTGAAAAGTGAAGAGATAGCTTATTCTAGGACATTAAAATCACCCCGTCCTCAAGGACTTTATTGCCTATTGAATAGACACAAGCAAGGTACATTATTAGAAAAGCAAAATTTCCTAGGAACATGCTCAGTTTGAAGTTGGATGTGATGACTGGGTAGTTACAGGTGAGGTGGGCCAGATACTTACCTATATATGTGTGACTTTCCCTAAATTTTAGAAGTAGACTTATTTAAAAGACTGGATTTTGCTTTCTTGCTTTTACTGGAAACATCTGGTGAAAAAGACCTGATGGTGTTTGTCTCTCTGACTGGCTCTCTGTTTGTTCTGCCTCTGGGTCTGGTCTCCTGATCTGAGGTGAACTCATGATTGGCTCCTCAGTGTGGTCTGGATTCCTGAGTCCACCCCTTTACCAAGAGTCTGAATACTGTTCATTCATTCATTTCATTCCACATACCTGGAATTGAAACCTGGAACGCAAATAACATGCAAATGTGTGACTCTGGCACTTCTTAAAACCAGACATGTCTGTACAGCCTGCCAGAGAGCCTTCCTAAGGCCAAACATACCAGCCGGACTCCAACCCACCCTGGTAACAGCATCCCTTGTCTCCTTGTCCCTGTTTCCTTACCCTTCTCAGAATATAGCCTCACAGTTATTCCTATTTCTCTACCTTTAAAGTCATAAAAAAATAAGCACCTTTTGTTGTTTGTAAAGCACTGTGGTGTTAGAAAAGCCTCTTAAAGGCTCTAGAACATCCTTGAATTTTATTTTACTTTTGGCCTAGTGGTAAGAAGCTGTGCTACAATTTCAAAGACATACAGTTCAAGTCTACCAGCTGCTTTATGGGAAAAGGATGGGCAGCCTCCACACATACAATTTA